GGTCTTTTTGAGACAAGGTCTCCCTGTAGCCCCAGCTGGCCTGGAACTCACTATGTAGACCTGGCTGGCCTCAAACTCAGAGATCCGCCTGCCTCTGCCTCCCAAGTGTTGGGATTAAAGACGCTCGCCACCACAGGGTTTCACTATATAGCCCCTAGCCTGGAACTTACTATATAAAGACCAGGATGGCCTTGAGACAGGCAGAGATCTGTCTGTCTCTGCCAACTAGGATTAAAGGCATGTACCGCCATGCCTGGTTTTAACAGAATCTCTTGTAGCTCAGGCTGGCCTTTAACTTGTCATGTAGCTAAGAATGGCCTGATTCTCCTGCCTCTACCTCCCAGTTTTCTGGCAGTGAGTTGTTTTTTGTTAGTTGGTTTGTTTGAGACAGGGTTTCACTGTGTGGCCCTGGCTGTACAGTGAGATTTTGAAAGGCAGAAGTAACGTAGAACTTTAGGAAAGAATCCTGGTAGATAGCTAGGAAGCCTTTTTGTGCTGTTCCACCCTTCCGTTCTACATGTAATGATTACAGCTTTAGCAGACACACTGGATCATGGGGCATCCCAGAAAAGCTAGGTAGCCAAGGATGAAGATCTTAGAAGGAAAACAGAAGAATTCTGTGTATCTCTGGTTGCTAGAGCACCTACAGAGAGAGATGTTGTTGTTGTTGAGGGTCTCCCTATAGCCCTAGCTGTCCTGAACTCGTTATGTAGACCAGGGCAGCCTTGAACTCAGAGACCTGCCTGCCTCTGCCTCCCAAGTGCTGGGATTAAAGGCTTGCACCACCACAACCAGCTTGGGGATTTTTTTGTGTGTGTGTGTTTTAAAATTATTTAATAACCACATGATTAGAAGCATTTCATTACAGCATTAACATATTCAACAACAATTTCCAGAGCAAAGATATATCTCTTTCAAAATTGGCTGTAAATTTTTAGGTTCAAGTTGAATTAATACAGTTATACAATATTGAACTCAGTATAAACCCTATAAGACATAAAACTGAATGAGGTTTTAACCTTTTGAAAAGATCTCCATTTCTTTTTGTTTTTTAAACTTCACAGTGAAGACAGGGATGAAACGTTAAGACCTTGGAACCTCCATCTTGCTTAAAGTAAAACTAGAAGGATGGTATTAGGAAAAAGGTCAAAAGATGATGGTATCCTTCTCACTGTCTTGGGGAATCACCAAAAGTCTAGTTTGTGAACTTGAGATCACATTTAGCACTAGAGTGAGTGGGGTTAAGGCAATTTTCTTTGTTTTGTGAGATGGTATGGTCATATAAACCAGGCTGGCCTCCAAACTCAATGATCCTTTAGCTCAGATCTCCCAAGTGCTCCAATTATAGGGACGTGCCATGCTCAGCTTGTGTGAGTTTTCATTTTAACATTTGAAATAGATACTCAGTTGCTTTTGTGTTTAAACAGCATTTTTTAAAAAATAAATTTTCAAACTCAAATACTAACTCTCATTTAGGGACAAGTACAGAAAAGGTAGCAGGCTAGGTAAAATTTACATTCCTGTCAACTAAGGAAAGAAATTCATGTAGATCATTACCAAGGTATCTCTGACTCAGAACCTACATGTATATATATATACAAGAGTCAGAGGCTGCTGCTTAGATAACATGCTGCAGCTCCTCCTTCAGTATCTTCAAACATTTACTGAACATCTACATCTTGTCTTTAAAAACAGACATTCACAAACTGTATCATGGCCAAATGTAACCTACTTCAATCTCTAAATACTGTAATTTCATATTAGAACAGATATACCAATTAAATGTAAGCTGTTTAACAAAACATCAGCTGACTTGAATAGTTATGAGACTAAATACACCCCAATATTTATTCCCAAGTCATTCTCAAAAAAATTTACTCACTCCTACTTCAAAAAAATCCCTTTTCTCTCACCTTCCCTGGGCTAACAGCCATATAAAAAATTAGATAGCATGAGAGAGAAATCAAGCTGTCACAATCAATTTGCTCATTTTCTAAAAGTTTACAAAATGAGGGCTTCCAGGCTAAGATGGCAAATCAACAGCATCTGATTTTAATCCTTCCAAAATCTCGAGTACAAAAAAAGATAAAGGGTTAGTTAACTGAGAAAAGATTGACTGTCAAGGTAATGAGAACAGCAAAATTTTGGAAGGTAGAAAACAGAGAAGTGATAATGAACTTCATTGAAAGAACTGAAATCTAAGTAGGAAACGCAAAGGATAAGCCCAGATAGTCTTCAAAAGGATAAAAACTGGTAGTACCAATAACATATAAATAGGGCAGCTAAGATGGGGAAGATTAGGTAAAAATTAATAAGCAACTAAATCCTGAAAGTTTCTCCTGACATCCTACCAGAAATATGATAGTTTCTTCTCTAGAAAAAAAACCCAGCTTGGACTCAGAGACCACAGAATAATTGAGTACCTAAGATAATATGACTAGTTATGTACACAAAAGAATACTTAGCTGCCTTCTAATTTGGCACCCACAACACTGGAAGCCGGATCTCCACCAGACACTATCTTGGATCATCCCAAAGGGGGGCGGGGATTCCAACATTGGGGATTGTAACAACCACCCTGATAACCTTATACTAGAGTCCTACATTAGTAAGACCCTCTACCAAACCTTCAAATTTTCTAATTAGCTATTGTTAATCTCTCATCTTATCCCCCACCTCTCAACTTAATGCCAATCTTAATAAGCAAATGACCATGCAATATTCCCTTTTCTTAGGAACGTCTATTACAAATGAAGTCTAAAACAAAAGGAGGCAAGAAAATGTAAAGAGTACACAGACTAAACAAGGAAGAAACATTCAGAGAAGACAGTGTAATCAGAACAGAATGCAATAGAAACAGAGAACAGAGAACAAGAAGACTAAAACAATAGATTTTTAAAACACAAGAATAGAAAAGTTTCTACAGTGCTGCTCAGAAAGAACAAAGATGAAAAACTGAACAAATGACAATAGAAAACCAGACCAAGATAGAACATCAAACAAGTGCTGCAGGAAGACGATACATCAAGAAACAACTACGTCCTGAAACTGAAAGTCATTGACTTGCTATACTGAAATGGTTCACCAATAAACAGCTAACACAAGTGATAAAAATTAGACAAAACAATGGGAAATTTCCATTAACTGGAACCTCTGGAAGATTCCAGAAACATATTCCAGAAAATAATTTAAAAAGAAAAAATAAACTGCATATAAGCGATCAAGAATTGTAACACCGGAGGCAAAGAAATTGACAGAGCAGTGCCTTCAAAATTCTGAATAAAATGTTCCTTAGACTTCTATACCCTATTGAGCTTATTAAGCAGAAGTCATTTTCAGCCATGCTATACATGTCAAAGTAATTTACTTCCTTATATTCTAAGAAGACACTAATTATATAGAACATAGCTAACAGCAAACTCAAAAAGGCCCTAAAGAGAGTAAACAGACCCACAATGACAGTCATGTAATCAGCGTTAAACAATATAAACTAGAGCAGTAGTTCAGAACACAATCACTTTTTGAGAGCATCACTAAAATGCCTGCTGCCACTCTTAACGTTTTCTTACGCTAAAAACAAGCACGTACAAAATCTATGGCCAAAATTCTCATATATACTTACATTTGCTGACCTTATAGTAAAGTTCCCTGTCCTCTCTTCATGCTGTGATGACTAAAAAACTACAATCTTAATTATCTCCCTCACCCCAAGTGTTCTATTTTTGCCTACTGTAACCTGACAGACTACCATTCAATTAAAGGTAACAAACATTGTGCAGCTTACGCCCACTTCCCTGACCATACTCCTCCAAGACATTCATCTTACCCTACCACATGACAATTTGGTTAAACCTATGTTCCTAGGTACATGGTACCCTGTACCCAATAACCACCAGAAGAAACTCAAAACTCAGGAAAGTTTAAGCCAGACTATGATCCAGATAGTCTACTAGACTTTTAATTATTCTATCTTGGAGGTCTCAGCTAACTGGCAATATTGTTTTACAAAGTCAAGTTTGTGCTCTGCGACTGAGCACTTGTCTAGCATGTGTGAAGCCCTAGGTTCAATCCCTAGTACTGCTCACCCGCAAACCCCAAGGCACTAACTGGAGAACAGTGCTCATAGAGAGTACAACTGAGAAGGATCAAAAGGGTTTGGAACCTTCCAATAGTAACACTCTACTTTTAACTTGTACATAAGTGTGTTGTCATTTAAATTCTACACATGCATTTATGTACAACATAATGTTAATAGGAAAATGTCTGAGAAATACACACTAGCTAAAAATAAATCTATTACCATGCTCAGCATTATTTAAATAAACACTGACAATTTGTTCACTGTATTTGAGTGATTTTATATACTGTATTTACATTTATATATCATATTTAACATTCCATACTCCACCCAACTTCCAAAATAGTAGGTACCGAAGCATTAGCATACATTTTTACAGTATATGCTGCTATTAACTACACCACAGCAAAGTAATACTAAGAGTGAAAAAGAACCAGTTATCTGCCACTTACTTGTCAATGTCTGCCATCTTGTAAGAACTCCAAATATCTACAGTGGGGGAAAAAAAAAAATCAGAGTTAAATCAATAAAAACACTAAAAACCATTCTAATTGAGCTGGAGAGATGGCTTAGGGGTTAAGAGCACTGACTGCTCTTGTAGAGGACCCGGGTTCAATTCCCAGCACCCACAAGGCAGCTACGAACAATACTTAACTCCAGTTCCAGGGGACTCCAAAGCCCTCTTCTGACCTCTGCGGCACTGTATGACACAGGTGCACTCACATACATGCAGGCAATACACTCATACATATAAAAATAATAAAATATTTTTTAAAACTATTCTAATTATATACTCTGTATATTCCCCTTAAAATAGCATGTTAGGAAAAAAAAAGGAAAATACAAAGACTTATTCATTAAAAAAAATTTCCAGAGGATAGTATTTAAGATAAACAAGCCACAATAGTAGGTTTTTAGAATTTTGCATATAGATTATTTTAACACCGTGAATAAAGAAAACACACCTGCTAGAATTATAAAATACTATGGAAGAATCTTTATTTAGACACTTTTAATGATAGTGAATTGTCAAGTGTTGCTTAGCCTTTTTAAGGCTACTTAGTACTGCCTGCCTGTCTCCAGAGTGCTGGGATTAATGGTGTATACCACCACACAAAGTCAATTCACTTCACTTTCTAATTTTTATTTATGTATATGAGTATTTTGCCTGCAGATAATCAGAAAAGGGCCCTGAATTTCCTAGAATTGGAGTTACAGATGGTTGTTGGCTGCCATGTGGGTGCTAGGAGCTTTTCAAAACCTGGGTCCTCTCCAAGAACAGCAAGTGCTCTTAACCATTGAGGCACCTCTCCAGCCTTCTACTTCATTTTTAACAGTATTTAAAATTACATTTACTGCATGTACCATACCATCACATGTACGTGTGGAGGTCAGAGGACAACTTACAGGAACTCCATCTCACCTTCTACCATGTGGGTCCTGGGGTCACAACTCAGGTTGTCAGGCTTGGCAGCAGACACCTTTACCAAGTGAGCCATCTCACCACCTCAAAAGTATTATTATTTTTAAATCCAATTCAGCTAAAGAACCAAATTTTGTCAGCTACTGTCCTTCCTATGACCCTGGAGGTCTTAGAAAGCTTAACAGTCCCTGCATTAAATGCTAATACTTTTAGCTATTTTTATGAAAACTGACTCTGGTGGTACATTTATAATACCAATTCTTGGAAGAGGTTGAAGCAAGAGTATGCTGCAAGTTGGAGGCCAGCCTGAGTTAAAAAGAAGACTCTGCCTTAAAATTTTTAAGAAAATAGGTAAGTAGGAAAGTGTCTTAAAGAAATTGAGATTAAGCAGGGTGTGGTGGCATATGCTTTTAATCCCAGCACTTGGGAGGCAGAGGCAGGCAGATATTTGTGAGTTCAAGGCCAGCCTGGTCTACATAGTGAGTTCAGGACAGCTGGGGCTACAGGGAGACTGTCTCTAAAAGACAAAAAAAAAGAAGTAAAGAAATTGAGATTACTAAAAAAAAGTTTATTATTAGAATCTTAGTATCAAATCCTAAAGTCTTACAAGATGCATTATACATGTTTATACTTAACACAGATTTAAGACTGGTCTGCCATCAGGTGGAAATAAGAAAAGTCTATTACTTAGCTATTATTCTGATTGTAAATGTACTTTCTCATAATGTACTCTACTCTTAAAACACCTTCTATTTGCTTTTTATTTGATTTTTATGTGTGTCAGTGTGAGTGGAGGCCAGATAATGGCATCGGATGCCCAGGAGCTGGAGTTACAAGCATTCCTGGTGCTGGGACCTGAATTTCCAACCTCATGACTGAGCAGTGAGCATTCTTTAACGTTGACTTATCATCTCTCTAGCCCTTCCCATTTGTTTTTTATTTTATTTTGATGTGTATGAGTGTATTGCCTGAATGCGTGTAAATGCACCCATGTTGTGCAATGCCCAAAGAAGTCAAAAGAGGGCATAGGATCCCCTGGAACTGGAATTATATATAGATGGTTGTTAGCAATTGTGTGGGTGCTGGAAACCCGAACCCAGGTCCTCCGCAAGAACAGCCAGTGCTCTTAACTGCTGAGTCATCTCTCCAGCCCCACCTTTCCATTTGTTTTAAGCAGTTCTTAGCAGTATAGAAAATTTCTCTAGTGATATGCGTTAACCAGTGTTTACAAAATGCTTAGTAAACAATTATAAACACTAATTTCAAAACACTGATTTTTTTGGGGGGGTGGGGGTCTTTTTGACACAGGATCTCCCTGTAGCACCAGCTGGCCTTGAATTCAGAGATCTGCCTGCCTCCACTGGGATGAGTGCTGGGAGTAAAGGTATGCCTAAAAATAGTAACTCTTATTCAAGTGGGATTCCACTTTGTCTACTCACAAAAGATTTTCTTTCAAAGCAGGGAAAACTCTAGCAAAGTCACATTCTTAAATCTGAGTAAAATGTCTTAGATTTACTACTTTTCTGAAAAGTATTTGGCTACAGGGGTAACAAAAGCCTTAAATGCACACTTCCACTGAGCTACACTCCCAGCACCCTAAATAAGACTTTGTAGAAAGGTAGCAATGAAACACAATAGTAATTACCTATAACAAGGAAGAGATGGAGAAGAATTAAAACTTTTTTTCCTTTTTAAAAATGGGGCCTCACACTGTGGAGCACAGCTTACTACAGATACATAGCCCAGGCTAGTCTGCAACTCTCAGCAACCTACCTCCTCAATCTTCTCAATGCTGGGATTATAGACATGAGCCCTGCTGAGAAATTAAAACTATTATTCATTCTGCATTATTTTGTTTTACAATATGCAGAAATGCAATTCAATAACATTTTTTAATTTGCTAGGTTAAATACATTGACTAATAAACCCAGCAACTGTTAAACCATTTTGTTTTTGTTGTAAATTATGAGCTTTGTATCAACAAACTTCTGCTCTCACTTCATCATCTATAAAAAGTAGGGGTGGGGGAAAGGACTGTCTCACAAGAAACCAGATTCAAAAAGCATATCACATTACTATGCACAACTTTTATGTATTAGTTAAAATTTTAAATCCTATCAACAAAAAGATTCTTGGAATAAATCCATAGACTTAACCAGTATCCAACATCCAGTTAAATGCCCAACAGAAACTATGTTTTTACCAATCCATTCTGAATTATCTTTAGCATGGGGTCAGTAGTTCTGCAAAATAATCAGCTAAGGTGTGTTAAAGGCATACTCCTCACTTTGTATTCTGTATCATGCTAATGATATGCGAAATTGCGAATGGGATATCATGACTATTAATACTCAACAGGACCTAGAATCACCTCTGCATGCCTGTGAAGGATTATCTAGATTAAGGTGAGGTGGGAAGACCTACCCTAAATGTGCACAGCACCACTCTATGGGCTAGGGTCCCAGCCTTCATAAAAAGGAAAAAGCTGAGCACCAGCCTTCATCTCCTCTGCTTCCTGACTCTGGATGCAATGTAACCAGCAGCTTCAAGCTCCTGCTACCATGACTTCCTCACCATGATGGATTGTATGTTCAATCTGTGAACAAAACTAATAAATCCTCCTTAAGCTGCTTCTTGGGTATTTTGTCAGAGTAACAAGGAAGGTAACACAGGCACTCTAAACCATCTACTATTTTCCTGTAAACCTAAAAGTTAAAAGAATAGGAGGGGTGTTCTGGGACTCCATGGTCAGATTTGAAACCAACAGCTCCAGTAAACCCAAAAATCTGCACTCTAAACAAGAACCTCAACTTCTAAAGCAAGCAGCTCTCCAATAATCAGATCACACTGAGTTGCTCAGGCTTATGTTAACATTTGCATTAATTTTATTATAGTTGACAACATTCATTAAAATCTGTGAGAATTTTTGCCAGACACTGAAATTGCATTCCTTGGTACAAGGAAATGGCTCAGCCAGTAAAGTGCTCACCACACACACAAGCATGAAGATCCGAGTTTGATCCCTAGTACCTAGGCACTGTGACACACATTCTAATCACAGCACTAGAGAAACAGAAACAGGCAGATCTCTGGGTCTCACTGACAAGCCAGCCTAGCCTAATCAGTGAGCCATGGAGTCCAGGTGGTTGGTTCCTGAGGAACACCACCCAAGGCTGACATCTGGCCTGTGCACAATGACACACACATAGAAACTGCATTCCTTGATCTCTGTAAAAAAACAGCTAGATTAAGCAGACCAATTCTACTTTTAAAAAATATCTTATTTATTATTTTATGTGTATGAGTGTATTGCCTGCATGTAGGTAAATGCACCTGTGTCGTGCAATGCCTGTGGAGGTCAGAAGAGGTCACCGGATCTCCTGGGACTGGAGTTAAGGACAGTTGTTAGCTGCCATGTGGGAGCTGGGACTCGAACCTGGGTCCTCTGCAAAAGCAGTCAGTGCTCTTAACCACTGAGCCATCTCTCCAGTCCCAGATCAACTCTACTTTTAAGAACCAGAAGTAATGAATTTGTTAAGATATTTTTATTTCTTATTTATGTGGATATTTTGCCTGCATGTAAGTACATCTGTGTCATGCAATGCCTGCAGAGGCCACCGGAGGGCATCAGATTCCCCTGAAACTGGAGTTAAGAATGGCTGTTAGCCACCATGTGGGTGCTGGGAACTGAACCCAGGTCCTCTACAAGAGCAACTAGGCCTCTTAACTCCAGCCCCAAATTTGTTAAAATCTTAAAAGCACAGAAACACTAACAGAATAGTAAGAAGTACTAGTCCAAAACTGAAGGCCAAAGGGAATCTACTTTTACAGAGGCTAACTACCATTATCAACAAATGTTTGAAGTCAGCCAGGGTTTATATAGCAAGACCCTGCCCCCGCCCCAAGAAAATAAACATAACAGACAAATTATCAAAAACAAACCAATAATCCCAAAGGCACAAACAAAAATAGTGACTTCAAAGACACCAGTAGTAGACATCAAATGACAAAAGAATTTTCAAGGTATTAGCCAACAATCTTAGAAGACTAAATACAACAAAGTAGACTTTAAAAATGGCCACAAAGAATTTAAATGATGGTGAAGCAGATACTTTGAAGCAAAAATACCTCAAAGCATTCTCACTAAAATATTGTTACATATATCCTTCAGCTAGAAAGAAAATGATTCCAGATGGATAATCTAAGAAAGACTGGGGGCAATCTGAATAACTTTTTAGATGAAGTACAGCTATGTTGCTCAGGCTGGGCTCAGATGATCCATCCGCCTCAGGCAGCCAAGCACCGAACTTCTGGCATGTGCCACCATGTCCAACTCAAAAAGATTTGAAAAGAAATATCACCACTGTTAGAGCATTAAAAGAAATAAATACAACCGAAACCAAACTATCATTATACAACATCAGGAAAAGATAAACTTCAAGACTGTTATCAGATATGAAAGGTCAGTTTTTTAATGATTCAATTAGCAACACGATACAATGCAAAGAAAATCTCAATGGGAAGGGATGCTGGTTTCTCACATTCCTGAAGTCAAAACTTAATCTGAAAATTTGAAAATGAGAAAAATTGTCCATTGGAGTAGAAAGCAGAGAGGCTGAGTATACACACCTACGCACACAGAGATCATTAAATTGTATGATTTTTGTACTAGCTAGATATCCAAACACCTACAAGCTTCTTACCTCCTGGCAACCCATTTTCTAAAAAAAATTCCCCACACTATCAATTAGTGCATAAATTTCTACTTTACAGAAAATGGCAACCTTGTGATGATGCAGGCAATCATTTACTATAAATGGTTTAAAGCAAGAAGAAACTGGTAAACTCAAGGATTAAGAGTTCTTTACCTCAGGCATTCTATTCCCAAGTATTTCAGATGTGGCTGTCCTTTCAAAACATTTTCATTGGTAAGGAGCTCAGCAACAGATTTGTTTCCAATACAACTCAGTTTAAACAGCACATTTTTAGCATTCAACTTATTTTATTTTAGTGATACAAAGTTAAGTCAGAAGACCTGGTCTTGCATTACTCTTCATAAAATGGAGTTCCTATGTGGGAACATGATCCTTCCTCCAAAGGATCGCAATACCCGGAGCACCATCTAATCCAATAACGTAAGTGCACATGTATACTGGACTGAAAAACAATTTAGCCACATGTAACTTTCATAGTTGTATGTGTAACTTACATAGGTAGCTTATATATATACATCACAGCTAGAAAGCTTCTAAGAAGCTACTACCTAGTTATATGCAAATAAATTCCACGATGGAGGACCTCCTGACTACACTGTAACTTTTCCTTTAACATGGTGGAATCTAAGAGTACTTCTGAATCCCACACTGAAGTCCAGCAGAACATTTCAAGTCAAGACAGTAGCCTTTACAACCAATATTAAAATTGCCTCAACTCATCACTGCTCAATACTTATGACAAATCCAGTATTGTGCACTAATAGCCTACTCTCCATGTAATGCAGAACTTACAGAACAAGTGTAAAAGCAATCATTCCATCTTCTCACCTTCAGTCTGCTCAACAGAACTTGATATTCAGATGAAACTAGTTTGAAATGAAGTTTAATGGCAATTCTAGCAGGTTCTTCTCTTTGAAGCATGTCATAAACATTACTAGAAACTTCAACTCTACTTTCTTCCCTCCTCAGTAGCAGTCATCACATTTTCTATCTGGCCAACCAACTTACTTTATTCATGATATACAGAAGCAAATGGGATAAAATGAATCAACATAATTACAAGTTTAAATTTTAGAATGTGAACTGATATTAGTATTTGTGCATTAGAAATTGAGGATTCTCTAATCCTTTTGAATTTATGACCAAACAATATGAACAAAATAACCAAAGTATTTTGACATCTTGAGATCTTTTTCAGTCATATTCTGCCTCTTTTAGCCTCCTTTCCTACAAAAGCTTTTTGGTTTGAAAATATTTTCGTTAATTTAGAATCCTGTCACACTCCTATTCTGTGTGTATGTGTGTGTACCCAGCCCCTCAAGCCAAATAATGAAATAAAACCATAGCATTTAATCCCATTAGCTCTGCCAACAGCTTTTTTTTAAAAAACCTCGCAAAAGGGCAAGTCAGGTGCTTTATTCAGTACTGAACTAAAGCCAATTATAGGCCCAAGATTTAAAAAAAAAAAAAAAATCAGGTATTTTGCAACAGATAAATTTGCAAAGCTTTTCAAGTTGGTATGTTGACTTTTTAAATCTCTATTAATATAAACAATGCTGACTTGAAAAGAGTATTAAGTCAAGGTTTCATGGTAGATGTCAAAGTTCACCAGTAATACTAAATTCTATCGATCCTCCGAGCTCTGTTTTCAAATTAAACTTGTTTATGTTTTAAATTTGGGCCATATATTACAACTCCAGCAACTTCAAACAAGTTTGAGACAAGAATCCCAAGACCACTGAAAACCCCACTTAGTTCTGCTTTAAATAAATTTAATCTATTTTAGATTTTCTTCTTATCCAACCAAATACTACTTTGAATATCAGTTTCAAAAAACTGATGCCATCTACTGTCGAACAGCAAATTTTGTGTTGGCTTCCCTAAAACCAAGTAAGCAATGTTGTTTTTAAAGTGCAGTCTTTTCTGAATTCATCAGACCAGGGATGGTTTAGTTTTTTAATGACAGCCTGTGCATTCACCCTTTTTTGAGCCTTAACACCCAGCCCTCCCCACAGCGTCCCCACCCCAAGTCTCCTCCCTCCCTTCACTGTCACTCCAAGAGATCTTTATGGAAATGGTGAGCCCTGACCAAGCAGCAGGGTGCACACTTGGGTCAGTATGTATTAACTCTTGGGTCCATCTCACACTTCTCCCACTCCACCCAAAACGATGAGATTTCTGGGACACTGAAGGAACTACTTTGTTGGTCTATTACAATTAAAACCGGAACAAGCCAAACCCTTTCATCTTAGAATCATTTGGAGGTTTAAATGAACTAGGATCAATTCTCTCCACACAAATATATCCCGGCCAAGGTACCCATCGAAGTTCTAACTGTACCTGCGAAACACAAAACAATCTTTTGTTAATAACAGCTAACACGAGGCGCTTTGCACGCGTTAACCCTTAAGACCATGACTGCGGCAACTCTCACCCATCATCCATCCGCTAGCACCAAGAAAAAGATTAAGACCAAAGCCTGGCGGGGAAACATCCGACACCCAGGGGCAGGCTTATTAGCTCGCTGGCTTTCTTCCCCACCTACTGCCTCCAACTTCGGGGGATGTCGGGGTGGACCTGGGCCGGGGGATCCCCACGTGGCGCGGCCTCCCCAGGCTCGGCCTGCTCAGCCCCTCCTTCTCTTGCCCCCTCCCGCGGAACCCGCCGCCGTTCCTTCCATCCCCCCGCGGCCTGCCTCCTCCCGGGGGAAGCGGCGGCCGAGCCGACTGCGCCAGCGCTGCCCGCCGTCCCCTCAGCGGCCTCGCTGCCCCCGACCCCCGGACCTGCCTGCCGCCCCTCAGGCCGCGCCGCCGCCCAC